CAGGTGGTAGAGACAGAGACTTGAGAGCATTGAATTGAATGAGCAGGTTACTATATGGGAGAGAAGAGATCAACATAGATGCAGCCAATGAGAGAAAGTGAAAGAAAATCAGCTACCACTGAAGAGGAGAATCAGAGCAATAGATGTTAGCTTGTGGGCAGTCGTGGAGCCAGGTTGAGAAGACTGCAAAGAACATTGAAATGGAAACGTGCTATTGAAGCCCTATATTCTGATATGAACCCAAGGAACAAATAATAATAATAGTAGCAAATAATATGGAATTTAATTCTTAAGGAGGTATTAAGAGTTTGTGGGTGTGTATGTGTTTACACTTGTTTATGGTTTTCTTGACCTGCATTGAATAATCACGGGTGTATGGATAACCGAAGTTATTGCATGCTGACACCATTCATTATTGGGTGACTTTAAAGGCCACCTAAGTTACAGTTGAAACAACCAATAAGACTCATTCGTTTTATGAAAATCTGCTTTTCCAGTCGAAGTGGAGAAAAAATAATTGGTTATTTAAGTCACTCTCGGAGTGGCCTTAAAGTCACTCTGATTGCTGCATAGGAAGAATATGAAAATTTCGGGGGAAATGAAGTGTGAATAGATTTTAATCACTTGCTTCTTTGTAAATAAATAAATATATAAAAATACATTTAACGTTGTTTTCATCACGGACTGACGTTATTAGGGACCACTGAAAGTATATGGAAGCGGATGCCAGCCAAAGACCTTGGTGAATAATCGCGCTACCAGAAATCAATAGAAGTAGGAAACTCTGAACTACCAAGCTCCAACTCAGTACCTGAATGGCTTACCCATTTGTCGTGAAATTTGAAAGTTCCGAGTTCGATCTCTGACGAGGTCATAGATATGTACTTCTGAGGAGTCCCATATTATGACGAAACAGATGTCCAGTGCTCCCAAGTCTTTAGTGATTCACCAACTGATTTCACTTTTAAAAATAAAATCCTCATAAACCTCAAACTACATATACAAATATGTAGTTGAATTTTGTTGGTCCTTGTTAAAATCATCATTATATTGTTCTAAACAATGACTACCAGAAATTATTTTACAAAATGCTCAGTCTTTCAACACTTTTCAAGTATATGTGGTCAACACACACAGATACATACTTCAAGGAAGGAGTAAGTAAATAAAATGAATGAAATTGACGATGTGACCGTATATACAATCATATGATGAAGATAGATATAATTAACTGCGAAAACAACATAAACAATAAACATACAGTTATTTGACATGAACTACATTTATTTAATGCATAAAACTCTGGTTTTTACGGTTAAAATATAATAAATTGTGAAAAAATTGGGTCATTGAAAAGGTAGTTATTTCCCACTGGGAATTAGTTTGAAGAATAGAAAATTTTTTCCTACTTTTCTATCCTTTTAATGTCAACAGTTTCGACACAGGATACTATGGCAGGATATTGTTAATATTACCTAGAAGTTATAGCAATAATATCAGTTGGATATTGGTAAATGATTCAGAGAAATCTTTAAAAAAACATCTGAATATTCATAGAATTTTCGCTTAACTATTAGCAACTAGGGAGTAAAATTATTCAGACAACTAGATAAAAGTTTCAAGTTGTTATTCATCGTAGACTGACATCAGTTAGAGGAACAAAGGAAACCTGGGAGCACTGGACAGCTGTTTCGTCCTAGTATGGGACTCCTCAGCAGTGCGCACCCACGACCCCACCAGCAGGGATCGAGCCCGCGACCTTCAGGTTCCGCGGCCAGCTGTCCAGTGCTCCCAGGTTTCCTTTGTTCTTCCAACTGATGTCAGTCTACGATGAATAACAACTTGAAATAATTCCAACTCTCCGCAACTCCCTCAAAATTTAATTAGATAAAAGTATTTGAAATTGATTGAAATGATTACGTAAAACTTAATGATGAAACAACCACTTTAATCATAATTCCAACTTTGGATTCAGAATAAACTGTCTTGTAATGTTTATTGTGTAGGATGTTATAGAATAATAAGGAAAGGTATTTTTTTGAATAAATTCTCATCAAACTCTTTGGTAATAAAATGGAACTGTTCAGTAAAATAGCAGACCAAGATTGAGGTGAATACATTTCCTGAATTGAAGTGTTAACTAAGGAGTGTAAACAATGTAATTTTGAAAGAAAAAAAAGGAAGAAAAAGACAATAAGTGAGAAAGACTAGAGTCACTTATGATTTACTGAAGGTCGAAGGATGAATAAGAGGTAAACATGTTCCTTTGGAATCTAGAGTTCAGCTGCCATCAATCTGGCAGTTACAGCTTCACCTATGTTGAGAAATCGTTGAAAAGATGCTTACGGTAATGTCTTCAGAACACGGTGTATGACAGTAAAAGCTATATTAGTAGCTATATGATGCAATATATCTATCAGAGGATATTATACCAAGAACCTTAAACGTCTCTTTACTAATATTAGTCTTTCATCCTAAGACGTTAACTTTTATCTGTCACAATCGTTTCTTTCTACCACTACATCAAGATCTTCACCCGTAACTGTCTGCTAACATATTAGGTAAATGGATGAAATGTCAGTGGTTTATTTTATGGTGCAATGCAATGAAGCCAAAGGAAGTTGTTTCCGTTCAAAATTTGTCAAAGACTGACAACTTTATATCTGGAACCTAATTTTCAGTCAAATTTATTTTGCACATTGAGTTTCGTCTATATTTTGCTTCAGTAATCTCATTTATGCAAACAACCAAAATGTATTCAACAATGGTTTCGGTTTTAAGCAATGAAAATCACCTACAACCTTGCTTTTCTTTTAATGACCACTTGTTTCCATGTTTTTCCATGATCATGTGTCATTTCAAATATTATTTCAAGATACTACACAGTTCTATAATCAGATTTGCCGGTTTATTGACCAATATTTTTTTCAGATGGCCAATTTTCTTTATCCATAACGATCCTAACTTTTCATGTCAGGACAGAAATTCACCTCCGCTCTTGTTGATAAGTCAGTAAACCAGTGTTAGATAACCGATTGTCTCGAATACGCATGAAGATGTGATGCTGGATTTGGACATTAAGCGCTTTCTTAGTTTTCATTCCAGTTAGATTCATAATAATTGTGAATTGTTTAACTGCGGCAAAGATGTAGAGAAACTTATTCTGAAGTAGTTGGAGTCATTTTCAGCTTACAGAACAAGTTGAATTCGAGTGATATGTAATATCCACTTTAAGCTCATATGATCGCAAAATGTTGTGGATTTGTTGATGGTATAACTAGTGATATTAGCACTACAATAAAGTGAAATGTTTGCGTGAAAAGATGTATGTTGTATCACCTTTCATGTTGCATTGTTTGGTTCACTGTTTCACCCGTTGAATCAGACATGTCCAGTTACGTGAAGATATAAAGTTGCAGGAAACCTGCATTTTAAGATGAATATAACTCATTCGACATGTCATAAGAAGTAAGGCCTGTTGATGAGAATAAAACCTCATTTTAACTTCAGTAAAGGAATCCTTTTTTAAAATCACATTCTGTGTAAACGTAATGGGAAATAACTGTTTCGTATCAATCGTACATGAATTTTCAATTTTTTCTTTTGAAATATGCCGAAAAATGCAATTTTACGCAACTTAAACTAAATAGTGGAAATTCGTAGTTAAACAATGATCAAATCTCATAAAGCAGATATGACTAGGGATAATCAACCGCATGTTTCGGAAAAATATTCATTTTCGTGACTAGATATAATCTATCCAGTGAATATGGTTTAGTTACAGATGAGATCTACGACAGTCAGTATCACCACAGAGTCTGACGTTACTGCGTAATCATTCGAACGACCACAGCTGAGGTCAATATAACTAGGTATATGGAAAGTCGATGATAGAGAGATAAGTATAAATGATGCGATGAAAGTCGTTGAGATGTCTTGGAAAGCGACAACAACCTTCCATCTCTCTTTCTTGTTAGCGTAACTTTCAACTTGAAGGAATAATTTATGGTGGTCTAAAAGGAATCAAACACCTTTGAGTAAAGATAGATAGTGACTGGCAGTGGAATCCAGAATGAGCATTTCGTCCCATTTGGGGCTCGTCAGCTGGATATGCGCCAATGGATGAATGCCATGAGAGATCGATCAATCCAGTCCAACCAACGACTGGATAATGTGAGCAATATTACCAAAACTATACCCATCACATAAGAAATGGCTATCGTGGCTTGATGGTCTAGTGGACCACGCTATGGCATTTGAAGCGACCGGTTCCGAGTTTCAATCTTGGTAGGAATATCATCACTCCCTGAGAGGCAGATACATCCTGCTGACTACTCCCAAAAATAGGACGAAATGAGCATTCTGGATTTCACTGCTAGCCACTATCCATCATTACTACATAGTTCAGAACACAGGCAATATCGAGGCATCTTCTCAGAAACCCATATACCAATAAAGACTGATTAATTTGGTCCAGTCAACGGTGGTATAATGCAAGCAATAACACTAAACCTATGAGTAAAGACTGATAAATTTCGAAGTCGTCAGTGAAATATTCATCCTGAAGTTATGAATCCTCTTTGTCTTGTCCTACTCAGATGGTATACATATATATAGCCTACCGATTAACTCTCTAACTTCTTTGTTTTCCTTTTGCTGTCAATTATCATATCCTCTGGTGCCATAGGTTGTCAGTTTACTCAGTCAATTTTGCTATTAAACAAGAAATTAAGGCTTAGGATTGATCATAACGTAATCACTAAGTTATGAATGATTATAATTTTGAAATAGACCAATTAGATTGTCATTTCATGCCAATCTTCTAGTTATTTGATTTAATAGTTCACAAGAAAAGTTTCACCAGTGCCTTCAAAAAACATTTTACTAATATAAATATGCTTCCTTCCGCATAGAATCGATGACAAATTTGCAGATTTTCTGTAATCTAATAGAATTAAAGTGCAAAGAAAGAAGATTGTAGGAATTGAAAACAGACTTACTTTACCGGAAACTATTTTCTCATAGATTTGTATCGGTTGATCAGCAAAAAAGGGGGATAACCGCAGGCCATTTCATAGACTAATATACCAAGTGCCCACCAATCCACTGCTTTATTGTAACCCTGAGTTTTAATTTATATTTGTGCATAATTGTGTAAGCAGAAAATAATTGTAAACAAAAAGAATTATCAAAACATTTGGTAGTGTATGAGATGAAAAATGTTCTATGCAAACACTTCATTTATAAGTGGTAAAGTTTCTTGAAAAAATAAGGATTGAAGTGCATTGTTAGAAGGTGAGTTTTATGTTTCCTTTTTCTTCAAGGTCACCATTGGTTTTTTTTTACTGCATTTAAACGCACAAATTTACTAACTTCAAATGATTTACATGATCATTGACTACTGACATTGAATTTTCAATTACAACTGAAAATTACAATATATATATATATATGTATATAGTTTCTGTTTTTTCTGTTTAATATAAACGACTGATTTGTATATTTAAATGAATAATATCATGCAAATTACGAGTAGTATTGAAAAAAAATCAATTTTACTGACCAGTAAAATTCTTTTCTTTATTCATTTTATTACTATTATTACTTTTAATGCATTGAGGTCAACTAGGCAAGTATTGGGAAACTCTGCTTTTCATATTTTCTCAGGTTTCGATTATAAATAGTATTACTGAAAGCACTATCTGTTAAAGATAGCTGAATAATTGGGCTAGTTCATGTTGGCTAAAATACAATAAAGAGTCTACTTAGATTAAGTCTCATAATGTTTTCACTGCTCGCATGCAGCGATCGATAAACTGGTGGAGATACATCTTGAAGTGAAATACATTTTCGAATCATTGTGAGGAAGGCATATACTTGATGTTTTCAGAGTTTCAGTACTCCCGATTACGAAATTTTCACCAACACAATGGATAATTTCATCAAAAGTTGACAACAACTGAGTTGTTCTCGACTTTCGAATAAGTCACCAATCTGATCATAATATTATTATTTGCACCTTGCGTTCCTAGTGGAACATAGGGATTCAGTAGCACACCTCCATTTCACTCTCCTCTCTGCAGCCTTTTCAACCTAGCTCCACAACTGTCCACAAGCTTTCACTTCTCCCTCACATCGTCCCCTCCTTGTCACGCTCACCTCGGATGCCCAACTAGTCGTTTCTCCTTAAATTCCACTCGACGGCCTGACCTGACAAGTGATGTCCCCAACCGGACTCCTCTTTGTATGCCCAACCCATCTCCACTCTCTCCTGCACATCTGTTGGGTGATAGGGTCTTAGTTGGTTCGTTGCCAGCCAGCCACAGTTCATTGTTGCTTATTCTTATTATTCTGACTATCTGATTTGATCTTCAGTGTTGAGCGAGTGAGTGAGTGAGCGTCGGCGTCAGCTGTTGATGAATGTCTGCAGTTTGTTGGAAATGCTTTTCGTGATGCGCCAAGTTTCTGAAGCATCATATAGAAGCACTGACTTGACTGAATAGGAGTTGAAAATTTGGATATTGTTGACTCCGTGTGCTGAGTGCAGTGGAGTAGATCTCCACAGTGACTTCATATTAGTGAAAGCCTGTCTTGCTGTCTTTCCGATCCTGTAGTTGAAACTATGCTGCCTAGGTAGATGAAACACATAACTTCATTAAACTCCTCCCGTTCATGGTGATCGGTGCCTGTTGTTGATGTTGGTGGTGGTGTCGTTGGTTGGGTATCTTCATCACCTCTGTCTTCTCTACCCTCACTTGAAGTACGGTTTTCGCTGCTTCCTCAGTCAACTTGTGGGTTTTTGCTTGTAGATCCTCGACTTTGTTCTACTAGACATTAGACACCAATCATCGGTGAAATCGAAATCTTCAATGCACTTTCCATCGGTCCAGCCAGAGTATGCCGATTTTCTGGGAGCTGCTCACAGTTTGCAGCATGACCCCGTCCACCACAATCACGAAGATCATTGGTGCTAGTAGGTGACAACCTTGTCTTACTCCTGTCTTCACTTCAAAGGCGTCACTGAGCTTCCCATTGTGTTGAGAATCACTTCGCATGTGGCCTTTTCATACAGCTGTTGAATGAGGTTGATAAACATTTGTGGTACTCCGTAGTGTTGAAGCAACTGCCTGCCAGGTTACTTCCTGGTTGACGCTGTCGAAGGCCTTTTCAGAGTCGATGAAGTTGAGGTAAAGATCCGGTTTACTGCCATTCTGTGCTCTGTTCTATGATGATGTGTAGCGCTGCGTTGCGATTTGATCCGCATATGATTTATTCTTCCTGAAGCCAGCAAGCCTGCTCCGGTCGTAATTTTGAATACAGAGCATCATTTAGTCTCTCCAGGATGATAAGGCTTAATACTTTGGTTGCTTCGAATGGACAGGAATGGAGCATGATACCACACCAGTTCGTGTCAAGACTTAGGTCACCCTTCTTAGCAAGTATGACAACATAGTCCTGCCTACAATCAACCAAAAGGACATTTACTTACTTCATACTTTCCGATAGTGGTGTGGTGTGAGCATACCAACTGACTGATGTCTCTGCATCTGTCTACAGTGCTTCGGGAGGAATTCAATCTGGCCCTGCTGTTTCTCCGGATTTCAGCACATTTATGGCGTTCAGTACGTCACTCCTGCTTCCGTCGGAGGGATTGTGTTCATTGAAAGTTTTATGGAAGGCCTGTTGGTGGAATTTCTGGATGAGATACAGGTAGTGGTGGTCGATTAAAGAAATTTGAAGTAGTCAGTTTATCGTTCTGATTACTTTGATTCCTATCCTAAATGGTATATGAGTTCCCTTCACTTTCTCTCATTGGCTTCATCTATGTTGATCTCCTCCCTCCCACATAGTAACCTGCTCATTCAATTCAATGCTCTCAAGTCTCTGTCTCTACCACCTGCACACTGTTCTACTTCACTTGACAGTGTCTCATAGAAGAAAGAGTCTTTTGTCTTTCCATGTACCTTTCTCATCTCATTTGTCCAGTGTAGGATTTCACAGGCTGTATTCACTTCCTCTTTTCATTGTTCATCCATGCACTGCACTGAACTGCACTACACTGCACAAGTTCATCTTCTGATTCACCATCATCATCACCATCTTCCTCTCCCTCCTCTATCACTTCCCAGGTGTCCGTCAACATCCATTCCATTCCATTCCATTACTTGTCTTCTCTTGTCTTGTCCTGTCTGTCTTGTCTTGTCTTATTTCTTCTCCCTTCCTCACACGCTCATCCAGGTTTACTTTCACATCACTTTCACACACCTACAACGTTCTTACACACACATTCCATTCGTGGTCCTCCTCAATCTCTCCCATTTCGTCCTCATGACTGACCAAGTGAACATGTCATCTGTACTTTCCTACTTCACTTCAGTTCATCTTCTGGGTGTTCAACGTCAACTTGAACTATCTTCTATCACGACATTTCTTGATCTGAAGGCTTTCAACTTGATTTCGATGGTAGGTTCCCTACACTACATAGTCTGATAGTCTGATGGTCTCAACCTACACCTGCTCCCACTCTTCATCTCTCTCATCTTGTGTCCAGTACGCTGACTGCGTCTCTACTTGCTTCACATTCACATGAAGTCGATCTGATTTTTAGTCTAGTGTGTAGTGGTGTCTGGTGAAATCAAATCCATGTCGCTCACTTTGTGAATATATCCTTGTGTTTGTACACACTGTTTGCAATCACCGAGATATTGAATGGGCAGAAATCTGAAAACAGTTCCCCATCCTCATTCATCATTTCACTGAGTGCTTCTCCACCCATGATTACTTCTTTCTCTGTCTGTGTTGTCCACTTCCAGTTTGGCATTCATGTCACACCACACATTACAATGTATTTTGATGTCGCCATTTCAGGTGGGGTCCTCTCCATTGGTGATTGCTGATTGCAGTTGTCTGTAGAATTCCTCCTTCCCCTCGTCGTCTGTGTCTGCATTGTTTATAGGTGTGTAGTGTAGCATTGTATGATTGTAGCCTCCCCACCCACCTTCCTTCCTTCCTTCCTTCCTTCCTTCCCTCCTTCCTCCCTTTCGAGTTGAATCTTGGTGTCGTGAAGGTGATCCTGATCCTTATCCTGATTGTTGAGGAGGAGATTGGTTCCCACTGCATGACAGAGAGCCTTCGATGTTGTTGTTGTTGTTGTGAGGGAGACATGATGATAGCCACTGGAGAACTCAGTGTGCTGTGCTCGTGGTTGTTGTCTGTGTGAGAATATCGGAGTAGATTATTGACTCCTCTGAAATTGACAGTTTGGAGAGTCCACTTCTATTTGATGTTCAGATTCCTAGCATTTCTATGCCATAGCTTTCAGATCTCTTTGGTAATGTGTGCATCCTTGCCAGACAGTGAGCCAGCCAGTCAGCCAGCTTGAAACATTGTGCGGCCATTCCATGTCCTTTTGTTTACTTTTGCTTTCATGGAGAGAAGGGAAGACATATCGGTCAATTGGCTTTTCGAATGCTTTCACCAACCAGTGTCATTTGGTTTCCTTGGTTCCATTGAGAAATAATTTTTTTGTGCTTTGAAGTTTCTTTAGCGGTTAGATAGCTTTCACGGTGTAGGTTTGTTAGTGATGCATGCAATTGTAGGCCCCATTTCCTTCGGGAATTTGGAGAGAAACTTGGCTAGTTCTTCTCACACACTGACCTATAATCACAGTATGTGATGAGTTGGAAATGGTGACAATACTCAAATCCAATATACCTATGTGCAGGGAGACATTGATCTCACAGTCTTTGTTCGTTGAGTCAAGCAACACTGAACACATTAATTTGGAATTACTCATCATATATTGGAGGTCTCTGGAAAATCTTGCTGACATTAAAGTAGAAGAATGGGGAACTGTTGGACTATGTAAGGGGGTTTCCCATGTTTTATTATTACTTTGATATGAATATAGACATTGAATTCAGCTAACGCCTGCATGCATTGAGTAGTATTTTATCATTGTGTGGTATATCAAATAAACTATCTTATGTCGAATTATAATAAGCATATCTGAAAGTAAATGGCGGGAACTCTCAAGAATCATAATGCGTCGTGAATTTTAAGATGAGGTTTTTATCTGTGTGCGTCATGTTTGTTAATCATGGTAAATCAAGGAGACTAGTATGTAGACATCCGCGACGTAAAGTCCTACATCTGCATTCAGAAGTATATGTATTTATCCCTTTCAAAATACAGTAAATAAATCTCTTATACCTGCATTTTAGCAGTGTTAATTGGACACGCGTAAATTTTTTTGTAAATGAATCTCTTCATGGTTTGAACAAAGTGTTAAAGGATGCCCTTTACTGCACATATCATACATATCTATGAGTAAGAAAATATTTCAGTAGTCTTGTAATTGTCATTAATCATCTAGAACAGTTTCTCATGATTCTCATATTCTTGTTTCTGTGATCAGTTCTCCAGAGAAATTGCACAACAACAACAATAACTCCATCATTTTTGGAATTAATTTAGATATTTGATTTGATTGCAAATCAAGTGGTGTTCAAGTACAATCGTAAATTTTTATGATGAATATTTATGATAAACTACATAGTGTTTGCATTTTTGTTCAGATTCCTACTACAAAAATTAAAAAATTAGAACGTTTTCAAGTTGTTCGTTGTGCATAGATCAGTTTATAACTATGTAAGAGATTTGCGGCGGTAAACAGTAACTGTTATTCACAAATCTTGAACAGTATACTGAAAGTCTACGCTCAGTTAATCAGTGGCTATAAAAAAATCTATCTGGATAGTTAGGAACTGAGGAGATTGTGGAAAAGTTCCTTTTTTATGTTCAGCAGATCTCAGTACTGAGTAATGAGGAGTATCTGTAATCTTTGAAAATAATACTTACTTTGCTTAGAATAATTTCAGGAGCCAAATATTCTGGTGTACCGCACAGTGTCCATGTTCGACCTTTTATTTTTTTAGCGAAACCAAAATCAGTTACCTAGAGAGAATGAAGAAATTAACTAATGACTGATAATATTTTAGACGAAAATCAAAATTACTGAGAAGAAGCAAGTATGAGAAAATTACTTGTTCCAAGGTAATCCATGATGAGATAAATGAAGTAAATTTTTAACTTTTTTACTGAATGAATGATGTGTAATCCTATGAAAAGTTTTTTATGTCAGTATACAACCTTTTATACTTTACTTTCATGTCATCAGTATACTGTAGAGTCTGTTCAGGTTGGGCAACACAGTACCTTTGAAAAAGGATACAATTTTGAAGACCAAGTTAAAATAGCAAATCAGCTTAGCTTTGTTCATGGAAAGATGATGAAAATGTAAGAATTGTTACTTATAGCTTCTCATTTGTATTTCATCGACAGATGTTTCCCTAGTATAAGAAACGTCTCGTAAATCTAAACAGCCGGTTTCCAATATCTCATTCAAAGGAATAATCTTTAAATGGACAAAAACTTCTAAAGTGATTCAGTCCTGTATGACCTATTCCATGATAATGTTCATATATTCCTTTCGATAAAGCAATATCAGTCATATAATACTATTATTAGTTTTTCGATCTCTGCGTGTTTGATTGCTCAAGTTTTTCTTTCAGTCACATAAGCGATCAAAGCCAGAAATTTATCTGGGCTGAGTGACAGTGATCGACAAATCACTGTAGAACCTAGCATACAGATTCGCAGATTCAAGTTGCCACACTTCACATTAGTATACAAAGAACAGGTGGATAGAAAAGGGATGAAATCCAAGTAGGTAAAGTAGTGTAAGAGAATAAACAGTTTGAAGATGAAGGTTAGTGCTAATGTCCAAGCTTTAGAACACGTCCAGAAGTGAATACATTCGCCCCTTTGTGACTGATTTTCAGCCATATTATCAACAGTCTTCACCATTAATTACCTAACTAGGCAGTCCACATTTCCTCACATTGCTCAGATAGGAGGTCCGAGATTTCACGAACTGCTGCCAAGTCTTGGTTTGGTCATCCTCAACCCTTTTGCAACGCAGTTCGACTTACCCTAATATGATATATCTAGGTAGGCGGTGACTCAGCATGCGCAGTACATGAAAAAGGCATCTCAGTCGATGAAGGTTCACAAACTCATCAATCGACTTGTCTGTCTTGTCTATTTAGTACCCTTCCTCTGACCTCAGAATTGATCCAATATTGATTCCACTACAAGCCATCAATACTACGAAGACATCTATGATCAGTTCGATCTAGGATTAAAGAAAGCTGGAAATTAAAAGTCTCAGTGAATAATCTCTCTAAAAACTTGGTATGAAAGTGTGAGCAACAGGTCCAATATAAGACAAAGGAAGGTAAACGATAATGAGAGCAGATAGACAGACAGACAGGCAGACATAACCAACATAGAAACACAAACATAAGTGCATTGGTTCAACTTTCCACACCAGACAGTAGCATCAATAAAGTGAATTATTATTATTATTATTATTATCTAAAGGCAAGCTGATTGAGAAATATCGATATTGAAGTAGATGGAAGGTGTATGGAAACAGAACGAAGTTGAAAATGAAGGTTAGTCTAAACTCTCAAGATTTGGATGTCAAGGAGTGAACATATCTGCTCAATGGTGACCGATTTTCAGTTATGCCAGCGAGAATTCTCAACCAATAATTCCTATCGTCCTGGGATAAAGCACATACAAACGGAGGGTGAGAGACTTGATCAACTAATTCCAAGCCCTGGTTTGGCCACAGTGAGCGCTTCACCAACCTAGTCGAACTTCCAATGTTGTTCTTTGTACTAATATCCATGGTTGGTAGTAATCAAACTTCTCCTAACATTGCACGTCGAGATAGGCAGTGACTCGGAATGAGCAGCATGTTTCGAAGCCGCCTCATTGGGTGACAGTTAACAGTCTCATCGATTGATTTGCTTGTCTTGCGTAGTTGGTATCCTTAGTCTGACCTGAACACTGTTTACATGGTGGTTCAACCACGTGCGAACAATGTTGGGAATACGTGTATGATCAAAACAGTGCAAGTGCTTGATGTCTTCTAGTTTTAACTGGTATGTCGCACAGACGTATCACAGGACAAAATGGACTACAGGACAGTATACTCATCCTTTGCTAGATAGTCGGGTGTGTTGGCAGTTGGTGCTTTAGGTGAGGGCAGTTAACAAACCCCAAACGAGCGTTCTACATCCGAGATGAGATAGTATCAGCAACTAGCCCCTTCGTGCTGATGGAACTCCTTAAATAAGTGAAGTAATAGATACGCATCACCACTTCACTCGCTATCAATAAGCTTGGAGTAGTTGCAGACCAGTTCTGAAGCATATGACAGGTGCTGATAGCTTGCCCGACACTCAAATTTCTCAACAGCACATTCAGAAGAACACACATTTTTTCGGCGAAACAATTTCGTCTACATGCTCCAATTCAGAGGCCAATGGGTAACAATAAATCTGCGAAAGAAGAAAGTCTACTTTAGTTGATAGGAAACTTTCAAGATCACTCCGTTGAAAGCTTCTTTAGTGTCAGAACAAGTGTTTAACCAAAATGAAAACTGTTGGAATAATGTCATGTGTAAATTCTTCAATGTAATAAGTGAAGAAGTATAGTTTATGCATTTAGAGCGGAGGAAAGAAAAGACACTTTTTACTGAATGTAATTTTCAAAACCATGCACTAATAATTTAATGTATTTTATGAGAAATATAATCAGTGTGATAACACCGATAGTATTGTTGAATACAATAGGAAAGAAAGTTGAATATCAACACTGGAAAATATGTCTGCTGTCAGAAAGTGAGCAAACATTTTCGTGAATAGGGGAAAATAATATCAAATCTACTGACATATCAATGCATTTAGATAAAGACCTGTGTTGTATGACAACATATTAACGAAATAATATATAGTCAGACAGCATCTAAAGGTAAGGCTGAACATCCTTTAAGTGAGAGATTAATGGGATGAAAAACGAATCATGTGAGGGATAAGAAATCAAGGAATTATACATTTATCGTTTATGCTCATAGGTAGTGAATTGTTAAGTAAAAGGTTTATTCCAAAATACTTGAAGGTTCATCATACTTTTTAGGTTTCTTTTCATATAAAAAGTGATAATGAATAAGAGGTTCCCCTTGGAAATGTGTCCAGGGAGTTGCATATGAAGTAGTGACGATACATCTATACACTTCACTGACAAGTTCCTAGAACCACATCAAGCAGTGTTCTGGACCTGTAAGAATAATAGCATACATTGAAGAATCCGGATATTAAGCCTCACAATGTTGACTTAGTTGGTTTATGGGAATTAATGATGAATGGTGGTTAGCAGTGTAGTGCACTATGTGCTTTTCTTTTTACTTGAAACTCTTCATTTGGATGTGAGGTGTTTCTCCCAGGGAAACTTAAGCCTGATATCAATTGCTTCATATGTTGGAGCGCGATGAACTAGGCTACTGAGATATGATATCCACTCTTTGAACAATGAGTAAGTGTTAAAGTCATTACTCATAGTTTTTCATTGTTGAACAAATCAAATTCAATTGGTACTATTAGCATATGAGCTTCTGTGAGAATACCTTGACGATGTTTGAGAATTTAAATGATGAGATTCTGAAAATTATCACTGATAACAGAATAGATAACGATGCAATTCTCAACATTTATACAAAAAAAATTCGTACTTTTGTATCACTTTTATCCGACGCCAGTAGTAGGACCTACAATTCATATATAACATCATTTTTATCGAAAGTCAAAGGTTTTCGTCATAAAGTCTTTGCTTTATATTTTTGTCTTAAAATCAGGAATTTAAAAAAAGAAAACTAGTTTAAAATAAATGTTTGATTTTTGTTGTTAACTAATGATTTATTTACTGTAGACTAGTTGAAGGAAATTAGTAAATGAAAGTCATATTATGGCTGTTTCAGACTTGATTTTTACCTCTTACTTTAACTTTTTCATTTAAGTGTTTATGAGAGAATGGAGATTGGAAACAGCTGGTTTTAGGCTGGATGATGAAAACACTTAGAGTCAGGGAAACATTAAAGGATTCATTATTCAGTAATAACTGTGAAGTATAGTACCGATAGATCGATGATATTATGGCGGAATTTTTAAGAATAAAGATAGAGGGAATAGTTTAAAACTCTTACCTCACAAATAAAAACTATTGAAAATAAGTAAAATAATTTCTAGCATTCTAGTCTGTCAGCAATCTGTGTGATAAATACTTATGATATATATCTGAATATATAAAAATAGACAACTATGCATAAGTCCTGACTCATGAAATTTATGACATTTTCTGTTAAATTTGGAGGAATTTGGAGAAATTTTATGGATTTCATATTGGTATTCATCATGGACTGACATCAGTTGGAGAACCCCTGAAACGTTTGGAGCCACTAAATAACTGTTGGGATTCTTCAGCACTAGACATTCATGACCCGACTACGGATAGAATCCAGAATCTGTTTTGACCCATTTAAAAATTGAAAATTGTACTTTGTTTTTTTGGTATTTGAGTTCAAAGGTGTGATTTTGAAATCTGGAAAACACTAAGCAGATGTGTCAATGTTTTGATCCTAACAGAACCCACTTGATACATTAGTTTGTTTAAATCAGCTGTTTGTGGAAGATGGATTTTCGTTAGTAATAATGTTAAATGAAATCACTAGAAAACTTAAATTGTTACATTATTGAAACATGTGGTCTTCGAAATTTTGAATTGATATTTTAAAAGCCAAACCACATGATCTTACAGTTTATGAAATTTCAGTATCATTTTGATAATGAAAATCTTTTACCTAACTAAATATTGCATGAATAAGAGATATGCAATCGTTCGTTGTTTATTTTGTTATCTTCCAATGACTTTCAATATGAAATATTGAAAGTATGTTCAAAACATTCTCAGTAGATTCATTCCTTAAAAAATTTTAAAACTTTTTTAAGTGTGTCATATGTAAATATTTTTCTCAGTCTGTTTGTACTACTGAAGAAGCTTTCGGTCATTCAAAATCTGTAAGTCATCTTTAAGCTTATAAAATGAACCATAAAAAGCTTAGACAATAGTAACTACAATCTTAACAATTTACGTTATAGACTTTACTAGTTCATATTTCAAGGGGCAAATAGAGTTGAGAAGTAGAATTTTAATCGAACTGTTAACCTTATTCATTGTATATTACTAGATATTGGGAAATGATAGTATAGAAATTAACCGATACCTCAAGTATTTAAGTCTGGGTCATTGGTTTAGGTATTCTATTTGAAATCATTCAGTGACAGGTTCTAACACCGCTTCATCTATAGAGGTTTAGACAGTCAGTTAGTATCATTAACCATATTACAACTAGTGTGGCTCATTGACTGTAGACCATTCAAGCATGATAAGTAACAATCAATACAAGCGTATATTGTTACCATTTATCTAAAGGAACTTACTTTGAGGTAACCATCACTGGCAATTAATAAATTTTCAGGTTTTAGATCTCTGTAGATTAAGTCAAAGGAATGCAGATATTCGAATGCCAGTACAACTTGACTTGCATAAAATCGGGAGTCGTCTTCACTGAAAAAGTAAGATAAACAGCCAAGAAACATTCAAAATCACTAATGGATTCCAGTCGTTATATTGGATTACTATTTCAAAAATGTTTAGGTAAAATGTGAATTAATTACTCATTAGTTACTTGGTTCGAGACGCACTCCCTATATTCCTAATGAAAATCTGCTACCTAGGAGGGTAAACACAGTTGGATATCAGGAAAGTCAATTCCTGATGTCATTGAGTGATGGTTGCGTTATATTGTAGAGTGACATAAGTAGAAAAACGTTGACCACTCTATTCCAGCTCATTAGTAGAATGTTAACGTACTGGCCAAGAAAATCAATGATGTTGTGCTTGATCTATAGTCAGGTGGTGGCTGCATATTACTGAAGAGTCTCACACTAGGACGAAACAACTGTGCATTCCTCACAGTTTTTCATTATTTCTTCAGTTGATGTTGGTCCGTGATGAATATCATCCTGAAGATGTTAATGACTATGATATTTCATTTGTACATAAACAGATTTATGTTGACCACTATAAGGAGTAAGATGATTCGGATATTTAGTGATTCCGCTTATTGAGTACTTAGTATCTTTTCTAAGTTTTCTTCATATTGTCGTTTCATTATCTGGTAACACATTAGAGTGATAAACACCTGATTTCAGACAGGTGGATATAAAGGAACTGGATGAAATAACCGAAAATTATTACGATCGAAGTTTATGACTTTAAAGGATGAGATAATAAAATAATGTTTGCGTACCTGATGTGACATTATTATTTGCCTTATAATTTCATGGAAAGACCCTTCTATCATATCCTATTCTATTCACTTAAGTAACCAAACAATACTAGTTAATAAGAGATTTTAAGGTTTTTGTTCAATTACTTCTGCCAAATACAAGTCTCTGACATGTGTAAGAGACTATATTCATAGAGGAAAGTCGAGCAAATTTTGAAGTACTTTCTAGTCGAGTAGTGTTGAAGATGAGTGAAGATAATTGAAGATAATTTTGAAGATAATTTTATATTAAGAACTGATATAAACTAAAGAGTCATGGGAAAAATGAAACCACTAAATAGCTGTTCACTAATAGTCCTCCTCAAGAAGGTCTATTTACCACAAAGTATCAGATGGAGCCCAGTACCTTCAGACTTCAGTGTGAGCTACTGCTTAAACCCTGAGTACACATTTTTTGACCGCAATGAAAATAAAATTTCACTAGAAAGTTCCTGTTCTTTAAATAGATTAATAATGCACTGGTATTCGCTATAAAAGTGAATTCCTTTTTAGAGTCAAAGATCCATTTGACGTTCCCCATAAATATGTCGCCTGGATACTACTATTTGTCCTTTGGGTTCCAGGTGGAATATAGAGCTTCAGAAGCACATTGCCATCTCACTCTCTTCTCAGCAGTCTTTTGAACCTGACCCCACGACTGCCCATTAGATTTCATTTCTTCCTCACACCATTTCCTCCATATCACCCTCGCCTCGGACGCTCAACTCGTCGTTTCCCATTTGAGTTCCACTCGAGGGACTGGCGCATGATGTCTTCCGTCGCTTAGATAAGTTGGTGATTTTAATAGACATGTTACGGCATATACGATGTAAGAAAGATGTCTGACTTCTTATAAATTTTCATTTTTCATGATGAGTACTCACGTGATTTAAAAGGCCGTGTGTAAGTCCAGTTCTTTGGCTGCGGCATACTGGATGGGGCGATTAACTGGAAGTTTTAAGATCAATCACCTTTTGCTAGTGCTTATATTGCATTTCATTCACAGGTAAATGTACAGCGTTTTTGCGTCACTATGCTGAACTAACTGCGTCGGTCTCTGGTATGCTTATTACTTTGAGAATCGTGTAACTTTGAGATCTGAGACTACGATTGTGACAGGAAAGTAAAGAGGGGTTCTAATATATCTCATTTAGAATTGAAAAAATCAGCTCATATACAGAACACATTTAAAAGCTTTCGAGAAAATTAAATGTCGATTTCTTCTTTAATTATTATTTATCACCCTTTTCTGTATGTTTTCATAATGATGTTGTATTGCATAGTCTTGGTGTAACCCCGCCAAGTTTATTAGTTCACTAGTTTACTAGCCGCCCCTAAGCCCGGTAAAAGAGGAAGGGTTAGGCATAAGGCTAGCAAGCCTATCCGGGAAAAGAAACTTCAAAGCACAGACGAAATATAAGGAAATATAAACAAACTTAACATATTTATCAATGGAATTAAGGAAACGAAATGACACTGGTTGGTGAAAGCATTCGAAAAGCCAATTGACCGATGTGTCTTCTCTTCTCTCCATGAAAGCAAAAGTAAACATAAGGACATGGAATGGCCGCACAATGTTTCAAGCTGGCTGGCTCGCTGGCTCGCTGGCTGGCTGGCTCGTTGTCTGGCAAGGATGCACAGATTACCAAAGAGATCTGAAAGCTATGGCATAGAAATGCTAGGAATCTGAACATCAAATAGAAGTGGACTCTCCAAACTGTCAATTTCAGAGGAGTCAATAATCTACTCCGATATTCTCACACAGACAACAACCACGAGCACAGCACACTGAGTTCTCCAGTGGCTATCATCATGTCTCCCTCACAACAACAACAACAACATCGAAGGCTCTCTGTCATGCAGTGGGAACCAATCTCCTCCTCAACAATCAGGATAAGGATCAGGATCACGTTCACGACACCAAGATTCAACTCGAAAGGGAGGAAGGAGGGAAGGAAGGAAGGAAGGAAGGAAGGTGGGTGGGGAGGCTACAATCATACAATGCTACACTACACACCTATAAACAATGCAGACACAGACGACGAGGGGAAGGAGGAATTCTACAGACAACTGCAATCAGCAATCACCAATGGAGAGGACCCCACCTGAAATGGCGACATCAAAATACATTGTAATGTGTGGTGTGACATGAATGCCAAACTGGAAGTGGACAACACAGACAGAGAAAGAAGTAATCATGGGTGGAGAAGCACTCAGTGAAATGATGAATGAGGATGGGGAACTGTTTTCAGATTTCTGCCCATTCAATATCTCGGTGATTGCAAACAGTGTGTACAAACACAAGGATATATTCACAAAGTGAGCGACATGGATTTGATTTCACCAGACACCACTACACACTAGACTAAAAATCAGATCGACTTCATGTGAATGTGAAGCAAGTAGAGACGCAGTCAGCGTACTGGACACAAGATGAGAGAGATGAAGAGTGGGAGCAGGTGTAGGTTGAGACCATCAGACTATCAGACTATGTAGTGTAGGGAACCTACCATCGAAATCAAGTTGAAAGCCTTCAGATCAAGAAATGTCGTGATAGAAGATAGTTCAAGTTGACGTTGAACACCCAGAAGATGAACTGAAGTGAAGTAGGAAAGTACAGATGACATGTTCACTTGGTCAGTCATGAGGACGAAATGGGAGAGATTGAGGAGGACCATGGATGGAATGTGTGTGTAAGAACGTTGGAGGTGTGTGAAAGTGATGTGAAAGTAAACCTGGATGAGCGTGTGAGGAAGGGAGAAGAAATAAGAGAAGACAGGACAAGACAAGAGAAGACAAGTAATGGCATGGAATGTAATGGATGTTGACGGACACCTGGGAAGTGATAGAGGAGGGAGAGGAAGAAGTTGATGGTGATGGTGGTGATGGTGATGATGATTATGGTGAATCAGAAGATGAACTTATGCAATGCAATGCATTGCATTGCAGTGCAGTGCAGTGCATGGATGAACAATGAAAAGAGGAAGTGAATACAGCCTGTGAAATCCTACACTGGACAAATGAGATGAGAAAGGTACATGGAAAGACAAAAGACTCTTTCTTCTATGAGACACTGTCAAGTGAAGTAGAACAGTGTGCAGGTGGTAGAGACAGGGACTTGAGAGCATTGAATTGAATGAGCAGGTTCTATGTGGGAGGGAGGAGATCAACATAGATGAAGCTAGTGAGAGAAAGTGAAGGGAACTCATATACCATTGAGGATGGGAAACAAATAATCAGAACGATGAACTGACTACTTCACAATTTCTTTAATCGACCACTACCACCTGTATCTCGTCCAGAAACACCACCAGCAGGCCATCCATAGAACGTTCAATGAACACAATCCCTCCGACGGAAGCAGGAGTGAAGTACTGAACGCCATAAATGTGCTGAAATCCGGAGAAACAGCAAGGCCAGATTGAATTCCTCCCGAAGCAGTGTAAACAGATGCAGAGACATCAGTCAGTCGGTATGCTCACACCACACCACTATTGGGAAGTAGGAAGTAAGTAAATGTACTGTTGGTTGATTGTAGGCAGGACTATGTTGTCATACTTGCTAAGAAGGGTGACCTAAGTCTTGACACGAACTGGTGTGGTATCATGCTCCATTCCTGTCCATTCGAAGCAACCAAAGTATTAAGCCTCATCATCCTGGAGAGGCTAGATGATGCTCTGTATTCAAAATTACGACGGAAACAGGATGGCTGGCTGGCTGGCTAGCTGTAATCAGGAAGAGTGAATCATATGCGGATCAAATCACAACGCAGCGGTACTTGGAATTGTGGAACACAGCATAGGATGGCAGTCAATTCAACTCAACCTCAACTTCATCGACGTTGAAATACCTCTCTTCGATAATGTCGATCGCGCCGCAAAGTAGTTTGGCAGGTAGCTGCTTCAACACTACGGTTCTAGTGCCACAAACCTTTATCAGACTCATTCAACAGCAGCTATATGGTGTATGATTCTACATGCGATGTGATTCTCAACACAATGGGAAGCTGAGTGACGCCTTTGAAGTGAAGACAGGAGTAAGACAAGGTTGTCGCCTACTATTACCTATGATCTTCCTTGTTGTAGTTGACTGGACTGGATAGGACTTAATCATGCAAGAGACAACTGCGAGGAGCTGCGAGATGACGGGCATTCTCTGTTTGACTGCGGGACGAGAAGATCCTCGAAGATTTGTATTTCGCCATTGGTTATTTATGTTTTATATCATATGTCTCAATCTCATAGATCTACGGGCAAATCTATAAGTTGGCAGAAGAGGTTAGGCAGCGAATACGGGACTTTCCTTCTGTGAACTTAGAGAAGACGGAGGTGAAGAAGGTACCCAACCGACAGCCCCACCACCGCCACCAACATCAACAAGAGGCACCGATCACCTTTAATGGGAGTAATCTAATGGATTTATGTGTTTCATCTACCTAGACAGCATAGTTTCAACTACTGGCGGCAAAGGCACAGATGAGGGTATGACAGCCAGCCAGGGTCGAAAAGGCAGCAAGACAGGTCTTGCTTCAATAATCTGAAAGCAGTGTGAAGATTTACCGCACTCCACTGAGCTGCTCTCAGCATAAAGCGTAAACAGTATCCGGATTTTCAATACTAATTCAGTGCTTCTATGCAATGGCTGAGACTTGGCGGCGCGTTACGAAACGCATTTCCAACAAACTACAGACATACATGAACAGGTGCCTGAGCTTGATACTGAAGATGAGATGGCCAGAATAGTAAGAATAAGCAACAAGAAACTCTGTCCTGGCAACGATCCAGCCAAGAACCTATCGCCCAACAAATACGCATAAGAAAATGGATGGACTGAACTTGGGGACATCACGTGCCAGGCCAGGCAGTTGAGTGGAACCCTCATGAGTAACGATGGGTTGGGCGTTCAAGGCGAGGGTGACATGGAGGCGATAGTGTGAGGAAGAAATGAAATCTAATGCGCAGTCGTGGAGCCAGGTTGAAAGGCTGCAGAGAAGAGAGTGAGGTGGTGATGTGCTACTGAATACCTATGTTCCACTAGGAACCCAAAGGGCAAATAAGAATATTAATCTTGATGCATCACTTGCACCTATTTTGCGGCTAGTTTAGGCTGAAAAATTACTCATGATAACTTTTACTCCTTTAAGATATGCAGAGAATTATGGCCAGATGGCAAGCACGGTTAAAGTAAACGAAACAGAGTGAGTGAACGTTGAATTCTTGTAAGGCAGTTACTTGACAGCTTATGATTCAACTTACTATTGATTGCAGTTCACTAAATCCTACAAACTTTTATTCATAAAGTGTTTTTCTTTTCGGTGACTATTTCTTGCTGGCTGGTAAAATGTTTCTCAGTGGCTGTCAAGTATCGTTTCAATTCAGTAATTCCTAGGCGGTTTCCCCATCTATCGAAAGTGGTAAGTATTCATCCTCCACCAATTGCTAAACTTAATAGCGACAAAATATCTAGGCCGATCCATTTTCTCTTTCCTCTGTTCTCCAGTACAAATCTAAATGTCATGTAACTGAGCTTAGAGAAAGTAACTTGTGATCGATTGACTTATGTCTGCGGATTTGTTTTCAATGATTTGAGAGCAGTTTCAGTCGCCGGTTGATGTCAGTTGGAGAACCGAGGAAAATTGAGTACACTGGATGGCTGTTTTATCCTACTTTCGGATTCCTCAGCAGTGTACATCGGGTTCGAGGTTAGATCTCTTAGTTTTCCATTCAGTGTTTATTTGTTACCAAGCGTAGCACTTTCAGTTTGTCATAGTTTATTTAAGCTCTATTTTTCAATTGTCGTGACCATTTTGATCCTTTAAAACTGTGGCTCATTAGTTTGGAGAGATGACTTTCTACCAGTTAGCCACGGCTTCAAGCACCTCTCCACTTCTAGGGACTTGAGCAGCCAGGTAATATCATTAGACCTTACACAATTGGTGTGGCTCATTGCCTATTGCACAAACATGGTCAAGGTTGAGTGGATTTCATTACCTAAAATTCTTATCTTATTTTAAGCGTAGCTGGTAGTTTTCAAGATTTTTTAATCCCTCTATTCAGTGAATGTCTTAAATATTATAATTTTTGATCCCAAAAAATTAGCTACCTGTCCAGCAACTGTTACTTCAGAAGAATTTCTCTCTTTGAGGTATATACTAGTTACATGTAAACCACGGTATTTAGAAGTTGAGCAAGGTGAAACTTCAATGTAAAATACAAATTTGCTAGAATTTTCATTTACCGAATACGCTTACTGTAAGCACCTTTTTGGTACGATATTCTTAATGATCAACTAAGACCTGGATATTGAAGACTGACCAGGTAACAGATGTTCTAATCTGGTCATCACGTTTGATTGAAATGTGAGCACAACGAAGTGTAACATGCATTTTAGGACAATACTTTTCAGAAGGATAATATACCTTATTCTTTGTTACATGGCTGCAGACATGTAAAGATTTTAGTTTTGACCCCATGTTTGTTAGACTCATATGCTTGGTTCATTCAAAGAATTGAAGAAATGCTTATTGAATCTGAGATTTAATTACAATATATTTTGTTTGAAAATATGGACATCACGACAATTGCCTGTCAACGATAATATTTATTCGCACAAGTCGATTCTACAACCATCATCCTTATGGGCTATAAGTGTAGGGATTCACAATTTAGGACCCATCTTTTTCTACTGTTAACATAAATAACCGTGTAGTACAATAAATCTTGACATATTTGGTGTGTCTCATTCTTATTACATAACCGTTAATTAATCTTCTGAGTTGCACTAAACTAGTGAAACTGATATTCGAAAAGGTACAGTCAAATCAATGGATATGAGCATTTCGCTAGTGTTAGGCAAATTCTTTCCTATTAATATATTAACAACCCCAGAATTTGACTAATAGGTAACCTACCTAACTAGACAGTTAGTTTAACAGGTTATGAAAAAAGAATTTATAGAGGGAAAGAAATTGATTAGAAATTCCTATTCATAAGTGCTCAAAAATTGTATCATCTCACCTGAATTTTCCAACCCTTCTCAAATAGGAGAACATTTCACCACCACTGACAAATTCAAGTACCATGTACAAATTTGAGTTGTCCTTTCAGTTAAAAATTTCGAAATGAAAAAAAAGCATTATTAAAGTCAGTTTCTACATGGAAAGCGATTTATTAATTATTAGTTAGAATATACAAGATAGGCATGATTAATAGTCCATTCATCAACTGCTTAGGTTACAACTGAAATCAGTTGAAAACCTGGTTTACATAAGAGTCCAGACTACTGTCATCCAGCCTGAAGCCTAATGAATTAACTAACTACTTTCACTGAGATGAAGTGATTAGACTTACATCGGATGTAATTATCGATTGAATGTGTTATGATAACCAAAATGATCAGGGTTTTCTTCAACATATTCTGAGGTAAAAAGATGCCTATGAGAAAGAAGTATTCAGATACTTTCAAGCCTAAAAGAAATCATAGCATAAACACAATTGGGTGAGTTAGATAGCCAAGCAGATGTGTAGCTTAGAATAACGGTATTACGATGATACTCATTAATGGCAAACATATTGATAAGAAATCCATCATTTCGAATAGATTCAAATGTTATGGAAAACGTGAACATCACAAGTTTGTACATAGTATATACCTATTTTCAGAAAATTCCACAGGACTTCCACCGTGACTAAGTACCTACTGGAAGTGTAATTAGCAGTAATATTGAAACATCCACCATTACCCGGTTAGACTCTATCTCAGTATTTATAAATATGCAACAGTTTTTGACAATTATGCTAGTAGTGTTTTCACATTTCAATGAACGTTCTAGAATAAAACAATATCATCTAATCTATCGTACTAAAAAAAGATTTCTTTGAACGAATATCTTTATGTCATGAAAAGAAATTAATGAAAAAGGTTTCTGACTTAAAAGTGTGAAAAAAACACTAAAGTTAACCACTAAGTACTTGAAATTTTTCTGAGTTTGACCGCTAATATACATACTTCAGTGATAGTTAATAATACTGGTTCTGTATTATTATTTTTCCATTAGGTTCTTATTGGAACATAGGGCTTCGGTAGCACGTCGCTATTTCACTCTCTTCTCTGAAGTCTTTTAAACCTGACTCTAAGACTGCCCATTAGATTTCATTTCCTTCTAACATGATCTCTGGTTCTTGGTTGTCTGAAATTAATATACAGTTGGCAGTGATTTATGATTCACGTCTCTTGGTGTTTAATAAGATGCCTTTAAGGGACTGATAATCTCCCACCAGTCGGAACTTGTATCATCCAGTACTCTAGTCGGAGGTATTACAAAATAAAAGTTTACGCCGTCATTCTAGGATGATTGCGGTTGCTTTATGGTAGATACTTCTTTCCCCCAAAAAGTTCCTCGTAATCCCATCCATGAATAAAACTTTAATAACGCAAGTTAATATTTGCGGAGGGAAAACAGTCCTGTGAAGTTCTTAGACGTGCTTCACTGATGGATGAAAACCAGTATGGAAACTGTATTATGTAAAATGAGTTTATAATAATCAAACTTTCTAAAGAGTATCATGAAGTCTATTCGACACTTCTCTTTAGTCTGGTAGCAAGCGTCGTCGACAGAATTCATTTAACCTTAGGTATCAGATGGTATAAAGTTTGTTTCCATTCAGTAAGTGATCAGTGGGCAATGTCTGAAATATCGTAAGGATCAGTAGCAAGTATATAACGGGGAGATGGTTATTCCGTTTCGTATTATCCAAAGTCTTTTCTTCGATTAACAATGGATAAAGCTGGCTAGTAGTCTTAACTGAAGAGAAAGTACCTATTTTCGTCATGACCAGACGATTTGTAGACTTTTTGAATGGTGATATTCTGGAGCGTTGTTTCACCGTCCAGCGAAAGCATAAGTAGTAGGATGACTACTGATAAAACGGTCGGAGAAAATTTTTGTTCGTACACAGATGGAAAGAAATTGATAGTAGAGGAGAATTCAAGGAATGAGAAGGTACAGGCAAGATAATCCCTGACTCATTATGCAGGCAATCTACCAGTCCAACAACGGAATACAGGATATTCGATCAAAGATGTTCGGAAAGTAGTCTTTGTCAGTTCGGAGAAGTGGGATTTACATGCTTCCTCATTTCAAAACTCATAGATATTTCTCTTTAAGATTTCTCATTACAGATTGTTCATCTGTTGACTTTAATTATAACCAGGGATCGGCTATTCGAATTTAACCGATATGGTGGTGCTTTTTTGATACTGACTGAAAATTTCACGTCAAGACCTTGAAAGTAAGTAGTTTCCTGTTCTATAAAAATTGGACAAAGAGGTTTAGAAATGGTAAATCTGTCGTAGACATATAATTCCTCATGGTGACTAATATTGAAAAAATGAGCGAAAGAACAGTATAAAGAATTCAAAAATTCCTGACTTAAACAAGAATGAAATGTGGAAATTAGTAGTAATGAAATGCTTTGGTGTTGAAAAAAGATGGAGTTGAACTTGAAGTCTGAAGTTTGGTGTTGTAATGAAGGCTTGTTCATCATTTAGCTTGTTTGTTAAATATTTCATATATCAGTACCTGCTTTATTCGAAATAATTTAGTGACTATCTTTTAGATCTTTGTGTTATTTGGTCAATTTAATGATTTAAACATTGGTTACCAGGCTTTGTGATTCTTTATTTATTTTCTGCTTCACATCCCACATAAATATTGATTGAGTTTTTGGTATTCTTGGCAGTCTTTAACACCAACAATCATTACTATACATAGTTAAAACACAGGCAATATCAAGGCATCCGCACAGGACCCCATATGCCAATAGAGACTGATCAATTCGGTCGAATCAACGACGGTGTAATACAAGCAATGACACTAAAACTATACCCGTCACACAAGAAGTGGCTATCGTGGCTCTTATGGTGTAGTGGATAACTCTCTTGTGTTTGAAGTGATCACTCCCGAGTCCGAATCCTATTGGGAACAACATCACTGGGAGGCAGGTATATCCAGCTGAAGGGTCCCATACAGGACGAAATGTGCATTCTGGACCCCCCCTGCTAGGCACTATCCATCATTACTAAGATAAGTTACACGTGAACTATTGTAATTGAGTTTTTTTCACTAGCTTCTTAAAGAGATGGTCAGATAATTCTGCAGATCTATGTGAGTTTCATATTTCATAAAACTTGTGACATACTGTGGCCCACCCACTTCTAATCACTTGCAAATTTACACATTGTGCAGTCAGAGGTTCAGATAAAGGAGAGTTTTTTCTATCATATTTGTCATGTTTCTGAGTCATATCAATTATTTCAGGTTCACAGACTAATCTAGTGGTTTTTCAGACACTTCAACGACGTATGTTGGTTAGTCCTGTCAGTTGCGAAGGATGCATTGAATAGAAGCCTCATAATTCTACCCATAAGATTCATTTCTAAGCCAGTGAGTGAGTATCACAGTAATGAACACTCAGTGATCAGAAGTCTTACAGATATCAAATAGACGGTGTTTATTAACAACTTCAATAAAGCTTTCTTATCCATATATCTTTCCAATTAGGTATATCTGTATTAAAGATCAGTAATGAGGCTTCATAACACTTCATCTCCCCAACACAATATAAAGTGGGATACCACATTTGAACCGAATAACTCAAAGCTGTCCTACCCACAAAATTTGTAAAATTAAAATTGATGTAAAACACGAATTAAAGCCACAAGTTTCAGATGATGCACACATTCACAAAACCATTAAGTTATGGGAACCATCCAGAAGTTTTCATTTCTCCTCAATGACAATTTAAATCTGAACGCTTCCGAGAATTTTCACTGTAATGACTCACTTTTATTGATGAAATTCCGAAATAGTTCAGTGAAATTTTAATGAAGCTGGAGCAACCGGTTCCGAGTTCGAGTCCCAGTGGGAACAACATCACTCACTGGGAGGCAGGCATATCTAGCTAACGGGCCCCAAACAAGATGAAATGCGCGTCCGGAACTCCACTGATAATCAATACCCATCATGAATATATAGTCGAGTGAAGTTCTGATAGTATGGTGTACGTTTTCCGGTTGACAGTAGATATCGTTAGGACAGTATCGTTTCACAGCAAAAAGGATGTTGTATTGAATAAATATGAATAAAAATTTTTTTGATTGCTGAGTCTCGTTTAGCTCGATCTAAGAAGAAGCATTAATTAATTTTCTGATTGGAATCCCCAAAAAGTGGAGTAATTTGACAAAGGTTGTTACAACAACTTAATTAAAAAAGTTTTAGTTTTATCCATGAAGATCTTTCAAACGAGACAATGAGTTCTTCCTAAATTCTGTCGGTCTGTTTTGTTTCTAATGTAACATTCCTGTGACAAGGTTTAAATTTAAAACTTGGACACCATGCTTGAATGTAATTCCATATTAGATTTGTTTATTTGATATAGCACAGAATGATACAATATTATTTACTTGATGACGTTTCGGGTATAAATTTTTGTTCTTATCACTGTAATCACATCACTTTAACAACAGATTCTTATAGTCCTGTCACCTGATATTTTTTTATTTTTATTGGTGGTAAAATGTTCCATATCTTTGGTGTAGATGTTGCGTCATTCCTTTTGCATGTATTGGGTGTTGATTCGATGAACAAAGATTCAGTAATCAATCTATCTCTACACCTAATTACATTGGACCCAATGGGGGGGGGGGATAAAACCACAGTACTTGAGATTGATTACTGTGTGACGATTTTGTCATCCGTTCAGTTATTTGTTCTCGATAAAGAAGTACTTTCTCTTGGGTTAAGTGTTTCTGTCCCTCAAACACAAAATTCTGATTTAACGACCTATACTCAATTCGAAAATGTATATGATCAACTAAGCTCACTTTTACCAACTTCTCTGAACAATCAGAACTGGCTCAGAGATAAATTAGTAGATATCGCTCATAAGTTTCATAATCCTGGTGTAAGACAGAAAAGCATTTTAACGCATAAGCATGTCAGAGCACTCAAAAGATTACGAAATAACTCTGATATTGTTAAACTTAAACTAGATAAGAGATCCGGTCTGGTCGTTATGAACAGGTCTGATTACAAAAGTAAGATGTAATAAAAACAATGTCAGATGTCCCCTCTGAAGAAATGCTTAGCTTGGAAGGGAGAGTTAACTCCAAACTGATGAAAATCAATATAGATAAATTTAATCGTCCAAAATCTATGGGATCTGAACATCCACATCTAAATAGGTTACCTAAAACTCATAAACCTGATAATCCGCTAAGTCCATTATTATTTATTTATCGATCACCCACACATAATCCAGCTAAATGGTTGGCGAAGCTCTTGAGTATTGTCAGTAACCACTTATATAAGTTCCCATTGAAGGATACATTTGATCTTACTAACTGTTTAAGTGATTTTAATATCAAGGATAAGACTGTATACTCCTCTGAAGTAAATCCTTTATTGACTAATATGCCACAGGTCAAAACGACCGATATTTTATGATAATATTTTTTCTAACGGTCTTATCTTCCCTATCTATCTTAATTTTTTAGAAGATTTATTATTATATGCTGACAAAGTTTGATTTACATTCGAGGGTGAATACTTTCGACAGACTGATGTCGTTGGGATGGATAGTCTATTATGACTGTTGCTAGCCGATGTATACCATGTCACATATTGAAAACATGGTTGACGATCTCATCGGAAGAGTTTCACGTTATGAGATACGTCAATGATAAAGTCATTATACGTGAAAAGCCTGACGATGCGATGTGCCTGCTGGTGAAGGTGAATACAGCTGAAAATCACAGTAGTTTGGCTTGTAAATAAGAGATAGACAACCAACTACCATTCCTAAACATGTTGCTTAATCGATGAGAGGATAGCTTAATGAGCAGGTTGATGTATAAGTAGCTTACATGGGAAGGGTGGTCTTAATTTCCATAGCTGTTGCCCAGTTCAATATAAACGCGGTTTGGTTAGATGCTCATTCAGAAGGATAAACCGTATCTGCACCAATGACACGAAGGAGGAAGAAACCAATTTACTAATGACAACACAGATACACAACGACTACCCGTTTAAATTCATCGACAGGTTCAAAAGTTATGTCTTGAAAAGTATGCAGTATTTTACTCCTAAGTGCAATGTCTACATCTCATTACACTTTATTGTGAGAAAAAGGCTTAGATTAGCCATCTGTAAAACATATTATGCAGCCAAGGTCATTCAATGTAGAGAAAACAAAAACAGTGTTACAGCACAAACCAAAATCCTTAAATTCAAAACCATATTTGTACTCCTTGCTGAACATAATTTGGTAGTATTGATTTTTAAGTGACTGGTCACTTTGACAAATTTAAACAGGGTAATGAGAAGACGAAGATTACCTGAAACGTGTGATGTGTCAGCGCTATACATTTCGAACAATCTGGTCCCATATGGACTTGTAGAAAAATTTATAAGAAAATTTTAGAAAAAGGGTCATTGAAGTCAATCGGAAACAAGAACAGGAAGGGTAGAGAAAAAACAAAATCTAAATCACGTCACTGTTGGTATGAGAATTAAACTCAATACTACCAAGTTAAGGTTAAACGTGAGTATAAATTGTTTTTGTATGAGTAAAGGGTGATTTGAAATTACGGATGACAAAACTTCAGTAAATTTAAGCACTCGACCCTGACAACTTTTATGTAGTACTTTAATTTGTTTTGGGCTTTCGGTGGGTAGAAAATGCCGTTAAGTACTTCATTTTACTCACTTTGCAATGTATGCTTAGTATTATTACCTACCTCATGTTCTAATCGCATCAGTAATAATTTCAGCATTTTTGATCGTAACCACTTATATTGGACTTTGTTTTTGATAGCAGTCTGTGTTTTGAGTGCCTGATATTGCTTGTTCACCTGAAAAACATTTACTTTCTAAAAATGTAGGGACTTGAGAAATAGACTGATTGAGCGAAGAAATATATTCCTTTTCAATTAGGTCTTCATCTTGGGCTCTACACTAATATATAGGTTTGCAATGTAATCAAATTACCAATCACATGGTGATGTTTCCGAAATAATGATGTAAATAATCAATAGAGTTAATAAAGTTGGAAATACGAATATTGATAGAAACAAAAAGGGGGAGATGTGTACAAAGTAAACCTAGAAGTTACATCATGTTGACGGCCACGGTAATGAATGTGACCGAACAAACTTCTTTTGGATACAAAGGCTAGGTTTGTAAAGGTGGATTGCAATCGACTCTGCTATGCGAAGTAACCGAGTGCGTAATCCATGAGGTAATTTTAATTGGAATCTGGTGCATAATTTTGAAGGCTTTTCCAGTAACCACTTGATGTCCTATATCAACTGAGTGTGCAAGTATGGAGCTCTTTATAGTTCTAATTTGTCCCTTGTTCAACCATGATGCGTGGTGCTCAGAAATTCGAAGATGGAACTGCCTCATCGTACGCCTAATGTAACTCGCTCTACAGGAGCAGTTGAATTGATAAATGCACAAATAAGTGGCAGAATCAGGCAGTTTGTCTTTATTTCTTGCATCTAGAGTCAGGCGGTTGTAGAAGGTGGGACATAATTTATCGGCTGGGAATGCTTTATGCAAATTATTCAAATTATTTATGCAAAGAACGGGTATATTGAGGATGTAACCTGCTTAGTTGCCAACAATAGGATCTGGAACGTCTGCTTCGTCCTACTTTGGACTCATCAACTGGATGTCCTGAACCTCAATGAGTGATACTGTTCACTCCAAGACAAGCACAGTACCGATCGCTTCAAAGAAAAAAGCGTTATCTACTAGGCCAGTGTGGCACGTGAACCACCTCTTGTGTAGCAGATGTAAGATATTATTAGGCTGTTGAATTTGAACCCTAAAATCAGTGAATTGGTTCTTCTAAGCTAAAATGAAAAAAATGGGAGGTATTGTGATAATCAGCTTTTAGAAGTAGTATTCATCATGGACTGACATCAGTTGGGGAACCATTGAAAATCTGGGAGCACTAAACAGCTGTTTCGTTCTAGTATGGGACCCCTCAGCAGTAAGCAATCACGACCTGGTATGGGATCAAACTCAGGACCTTCAGGTTTCACGCCGAATGCGTTAACCATCCAGCTTTTATCGCTTTAGACAACTGCGAAGCTGTATTGGAATAGGCTCTTTATAGTTGACAACATTTTTGTAGTCACGGAAACACGTCCACTAACATATATATATATATATACATATATATATATATATATATATATATATATATATATATATATATATATTAAAAGGCCTCAGAAATACTTTCAAGGATCAATTTTATGTCAATGAGTTGAATATGCGGTGTTAATTGTCAAAGTATAAAAGACTCACTTTGAAGCTGAAAACCATACGTACAAGGAAAGGGAAGTTGATTGCCTGTAGAATCTTCTTCTCATTCAGAGTGTGTTCAATCTGCTTTAATTTAACCACCTAGAGACAAAAGAATAATCAAAAGACTCAATGAGTGTATAAACTGACAAGTAGTACTTACGCAGACGCCCTTACTGAAGAATAGACTGGTGATTCTATCCGCTAATGATGACAGTTCACCGTTTTTGTGTGATATACATAAACATGCAAACTGGAATAGTATTCACTTTTAGCAAGTCAGTCACTAAAATACTAAGCATTTAACCTGAATATCATTGTTCCATCTCCTGTCAGTAATTAGGTTTCATTCATTACCCCCCACATGTGTGATAAAAAGGGATAAAAGAATGGGAAATTTCTCCATATGCCATGAAGTTAGTAGATTTCAAAACTCTGTCTTTAGCAACATATAGGGTTATCAAGAATAGAGGATCAAACTGAATAATCGTTAGTATTCTTTTAAATTAAGCAATCCTAAGACAATCAGAGATTACTGCAGAAGTTTGAAACGGAAAAACTTCAAGGTTATATCATCAACAAATCGAGAGGTTAACTCAGCAAATGATGTAGTATCTCTACAAATATTGTTGTTAAAATAAGGCACAGGAGACAGACATGAGTTAAAATCAACAAATCACAGTCATGGCTGGAAAAATATTGCAAGATTAATCAGTAATTTTACCTGTTGAGTAACTGTTATCACTGTGTGTAAAATCATGATGAAGAATACAAAACAAAGTGAACAGGTAACCGCGTTATATCTCTTTAAACTCTATTCACTGATTCACATTTACTAACTGAAAAGTGAAAGGATGCTGAATTATGAGTTTACGGGAATATCTTCTTCTGAAAAGTGTAATTCAGTGGTGTGGGTACTGATTTTCCAAGTAATTGACTACAGTTCAAAACTCCGCTCCACCTTATTCAAGCACGGCACTCATGTAGTATCATCAAACCAACTAGAATCAGTTTACTAAATAAGGTAAAAAGTAATACAATATAATATGCTGGACGAAATCTGAGCACAATTCTTTGCTTTCAATCATATCTAGCTACACATACAACACATAATTTCTATAGTTCTGTTGTTATTCTTCATTGCCAGTACTAATCGGGTTCTATGTATGTTCGGAACAGGTGTTGCATTATTTCTCCTTATATGGGGAATTCTAAAAGCCTTGAAGTCAAAGATTAACTGGGGATATATGTATAAAAGTTGGATTTTGGAAATAGTTTGATTAACTTATGTCTGTGTGTAACAAATTGTGCTTACCAAGCCATCTGGAAAAGAACACGGTATGACTATGTGCTATTTCAAGTAAATAGATTTAATATGGAACTGGGACAAGACATATGAGCGAACTGCATTTTGACACTGTCAACATTTCATTTTAACAGAATCATCAGCAATTATACATTTAGTACTGCTTATAACCTAGTTAGTGAACCTTTGCTTGGTCATCGACTTGATTTATTACTAATCTTGGTCACTCTTCACTTTTCTCAACTGGAGCTATAAAGTGTATAAATAGGGAGCGACGAAAACTAGATGTTATCATTCAGTGCATTCTACTGAAAAATTAACAGAAATTTCAAAAATACATGTATAAATGTAGGATGGTTGTGTCACTGACACTGAAAAACGACACCCATCACCTTACGAGCAAGAGGGTTTTCCGCTGAACTACTAAGTGATTAACATAGCCTTAATTCGAATTCCAATAAGAAAACCATCTCTCACTAAGATACAGACGTATTCGGTTAAAAAGTTAGTAATATCACGAAATACACACCTCGAATTCCACTACTGGATATACGATGAAGCAAATAAAATCACATTGGAACCTGATTCAGTATTCAAGTATCCATTTAATGAGTGCATACACTAGTTAGCACCCTTTCTCTGACCTCAAAATTGATCCAATATTGATTCCACCACAAGCCAGCAATGCTACGAAGACATCTATGATCAGTTCAATCTAGGATTGTAAAAAGCTGGAAATTAAAAGTATCAATGAATAATCTCTCGAAAAACTCGGTATGAAAGTGTGAGCAACAGGTCCAATTTACGACAAAGGAAGGTAAACGATAATGAGAGCAGATAGACAGACAGACAGACAGACAGACAGATAGACAGACAGGCAGACATAACCAACATAGAAACACAAACATAAGTGCATTGATTCAACTTTCCACATCAGACAGTAGCATCAATAAAGTGAATTATTATTATTATTATTATTATTATTATTATTATTATTATCTAAAGGCAAGCTGATTGAGAAAGATCGATATCGAAGTAGACGGAAGGTGTATGGGAAGAGAATGAAGTTAAAAATGAAGGTTAGTCTAAACCCTGAAGATTTAGATGTCAAGGAGTGAACATATCTGCTCAATGGTGACCGATTTTCAGTTATGCCAGCGAGAATTCTCAACCAATGATTCCTATCGTCCTGGTATGAAACACATACAAACGGAGGGTGAGAGACTTGATCAACTAATTCCAAGCCCTGGTTTGGCCACAGTGAGCGCATCACCAACCTAATCGAACTTCCAATGTTGTTCTTTGTACTAATATCCATGGTTGGTAGTAATCAAACTTCTCCTAACATTGCACGTTGAGGTAGGCAGTGACTCGGAATGAGCAGCATGTTTCGAAGCCGCCTCATTGGGTGACAGTTAACAGTCTCATCGATTGATTTGCTTGTCTTGCGTAGTTGGTATCCTTAGTCTGACCTGAACACTGTTTACATGGTGGTTCAACCACGTGCGAACAATGTTGGGAATACGTGTATGATCAAAACAGTGCAAGTGCTTGATGTCTTCTAGTTTTAACTGGTATGTCGCACAGACGTATCACAGGACAAAATGGACTACAGGACAGTATACTCATCCTTTGCTAGATAGTTGGGTGTGTTGGCAGTTGGTGCTTTAGGTGAGGGCAGTTAACAAACCCCAAACGAGCGTTCTATATCCGAGGTGAGATTTCGTTAGAAAGCAGCACATTCGATGTGATTCAACTCTCTGTCATTGAGCTAAGGGTCGGTTAAGACTAGTCCTGGACCATCATCTTACATCTGATTGGTGCAAAACGCACGTCAAACATACTCATATTTGTTCTGAAGGCGTTCAGAATACTTTACATTTCGTAAGCGTCTTCACCTGGCAAGAGAATAGTAAGAGTAACGTGTATTGTATGAAATGTGAAAGTAGGATTCGATAATGTAAGGATTATAGTCGTTTTTTCAATGCATACAAAGGGTAACAGTTTCTGTGAAGAATGCCTGTAGTTAATTTCAACCTTAAAATTCGTCAAAAAAGCCTGCGTAACTGTTCATATGTAAATGGCATAAGGTACAACCATCACAAAATGGCTAATAACAGTAATCATATTAAACAAGTGGTTGATTTATTCTTTTCAACTGTGCATGAAATAGACTTGCATAAAATTCAACTTCATTTTCTTTCATTGACCTTAAACACAATGATATACTGGTGAAAATCAATCCCATTCTGGTTAGACAACTATAGTAAGCATCATCATCACCATCACCGTTATCGGTATGATAAAGATAGATGGTATCTACAGTTGATTGGTTGATACGTATATCCTTTTGTTGATGAAGTAATTTGTGTGGGATTTATGTTCAATATTGGCGAAACTTGAACTTTGTTATGGTTGAAAATTTAGATTGATGGACTTCTAATATGCACACACTTTAGTGACATAAGTTTAGTTATTTTTCTTATAATCTGTTGCTAACTTTTAGTTGATGTTTCTATATTTTATAAGTTTTTAGCATAAGAATTTTAGTTCAGAAGAGGAAATTCCTTGCTAAGATGATTTAATCTGTTTAAAGTAAAATACATTACTTCTAGAGTACAGACTAAATTTGAAAGAGATGAAAAATCAATGATTACGTTTTAAGTAGTATCATATCAGTTAACAAGGTGGTAATCGGGAACAGAATACTAGACAGCTGTGGAATAAGCAGTCAGTCAGTTAGTTAACTACATTTCATACCTAAGCTATGACCTTTTATTAGAGCTACACTTGATGAATTGTTCATTTAAAGCTGTAAAAGCAGATGATACTATAAATTGTAGTGTTATGAAGAGGTCAAAAGAAGAGGCTGGTAATCACTTACATGATCATACTGTTTATTGTGCTCATTGAATAAGATCCCAACCTTAGATTTCATTTGTTCTTCGACTAAACATTTCTTTTTATGTTAATAATAACAACTTTCGTAGAATTTGGATGGTAGTATACGTCGTTCCTCCTTTGATCCTATTGAAATAGGGATATTTCCTAAAATCATTTTTATCTAACTTATGGTACAAGATAATATTCATTTACTGAGGTTGCGATATGTTCAAATGTTTTAATTGGAATAGCTCAGTTCAGTCTTTAATTTCATTCTGTAATTAGTTAAAAATCAATAGGTAGTAATTTCTTTAAAATGTTATTTATTCATGGAATGTGGACCGAAACTTCTTAATCATCTAATCTGTATCAAGTGAATGCATATTTAAAAGCTTAAAATGAGTGAACTGAGAAAAAATTTCAGTTTCATTAGGATTCTTTGCAACCAGATCTAGATTTCTAGCGCTGTTGTAAATGAAGTATGGTAAGAAATCAAGCTGATATTCAGGTATCAGTTTTATTGAAGTCATTAGTGTCACATGGATGATTTATTGAGTCATTTGGCTGGTAATCTGGAGAATTTTGATTCAAAATACGTAGCAGTAAAAGTTTTATATCAAATGTAAACTATGTTGATAACCACCTGAATGTTTCTCTACTAGTAAACTAGCCGTACCTACTGATTCAGGGTTAGTGATAATAAGTGGCTGCTGAAACTCCGAAAATATAGCTTTTGTCAAAAGTCATAAATAGGCAGTTGGAATCAGGTTGTCTAGAGGAAGCATTCATATTTCCAGTGTATCATTATTTATATTAGCTGATGAATTCCCAAACAAGCTGGATAATTGCATACAAATGAGTACCTTCTGACTATAACTTCGTAAATGAAAACATCTAAATTCATTCAAAAGAT